GCCACGGATCGTCGCGCGTGGAGAAGCACCATACGGGACATAATTGAGGCCGCCTAGATCAGTCATGATCGCAGCCGTAACAAGTACAAGTAAGTACAGCACAAGGTCTAGGAGGGACCAAGTAGCTGCTGCAGAAGCTAGGAAAGTGGGCGAAAGATGAATTTTGCCGGCAAAGGCAAGAGAAAGTGGAATTCTAGTTGACCCAAAGTGGAAACGCCATTTCTGGCTCACTAACCGTTTATCAGCCACTCATACCCAACCCCAGGTAGGGCACCAGCCGAAGATTGAACTTGCGGACTTTTTGATCAGAAGTCTAACGCTCCAATCAGCGAGCCGCGGGTACACCTTGTTGGTTTAGCTCGGGAATATTGACATTCGTTAAGTAGCTTAGCGATCTGTGAGCGTACATCAACGAATGTAAGTGGTGTTTGCTTAATTTAAAAACACCATGAACTCCAGTCGGGAATAAAGCTGTCTGTTAATAACAACATCACAGAACATCAGTGTTAACTCTGCCTCTAAAACCGGCAAAGGCAGCTTATGAAGTCCCTCCATATATCCCTAGTCTCAGCATTTTGTCCTACGAAAACGCTGGTTATAGGGTTTTAGGGATGAAGAAATAGGATAGGCAGAGGAGGAAATTTTTAGAAGTCTAAAGTGAAAAAATTAAGTCGAAGTTGTTTCCCGCGACCACTGGGAGCAAGTTGTTCCGCATGCAATTTCAAGGTGTGTGCGGCGCTTCGCGCAGCGGGCTATAATAATCTAACCTCAGAACGGTAAGTGGGACCTCAGGTAAATTGAAGTAGACGACCTCCTAACCACCAGTTTTATTTATCGGGAATTTCAAGAAACCTCCAAGTTGCTAATCGGGTTTTTCCGCAATACGTTAAATTATAATACAGATTAGGAAAATCTACAGATCTAACTCAACAACACTTTTAAATACAATAAAATAAAAATGCATATAGCAGTTATTTAAGTATATTTCACTGCGTATCCTAATTCCCCCCCCCACACAAAACCCTATAAACACCGTTTTCGTAGGACAACATGCTTGGAGTAGGGATTAATGAGAGGGACTACATAAGCTACTGTTGCCCTAAAACCTATGCACGATTGGTACAAGAAAAATATAACTAAGTGAGCCCTAAAATCGTGCGCCAAGTTTCTGACGAGTATTATTAAAGTACATAAAATATATTCATATTCCCCAGTGATCCCTACTAAGCTGGTTCTTTAAACAGTTTAAGTCCCGGCCACTTCTCACGTGAATGATTTTAAGGCATACACTTACTGACTGCCACCGGTAAGGTCAGGAAGAGTGTAAAAATACTCAGAAAATTAAATCTATGTTCCCGGAGCTCAAGTCTTCTCCTCAATCTAGATTTTTCATTTGCGTCTCTATTTTGCCGCAACTCCCTACAATTCGTAGACATTAAATGTGTAGACTCAAGTCACAAATTAGCAGACCTAAGAACTGTCTTCAGCAGAGAAAGAGAGCACAACTGGTTAGAAGTCTCACCAGGATGCAGAGTTGGTCGTATATATCTGCGGCGAGAGAGGGCTGCCGATGCAAACTGGCCCGACAGGCGAGTTTATACACTAGCCAAGGCTCCAGGCACTTCTCCTCGACCTCCGTTAGTGCAGTCGCCCGAGCTAAGCAGGATAGGAGTCGGAGCCGTTGATTGACGCTGAGGGGCTTACCGCGGGCCATACGAAAAACAAGAACAAAAGGCGCCGGTAAAGTTGAGGACAGCGCGGGAGCAGATGACTCGCAGTATCCAGCTCCACGGGGAGCCGCGTCAAAGTGCTCGATAATCTCGTTGACAGTAGGCAACCAATCCTCCTTTTCGCTATGCACCAGAGACTCACACAAAGGCCCCAAAAACTGGCACAACAACGCCACGCGTGGATTAGAGGCTGGGTGAAGAAGATGAGTAAATTTGTAATGAAGAAGGTAAAACCTATTCACAGGTCTTTTCGAGTGCAAATAATAGTAAAAAAGCTTCTCAGACAAAAGCCATGACGAGACTTCTCGTGAATATATGATCACAACCGACAAAGCAGGGGACCCGTAGACTAGAGGTAGTGTCTTGAACACAATGACCAAAGGTCCCAGGTTCGAATCTCGAGGGTGTCAACCCTT